GAAAGAGAGACGCACTTGAATAATGGCATCGTTGAAGACTAAGCTCCCTGAGGTTGTCTCCGAAGCTAATCTTTTCCTAAACTTTTCATCCTTCGTAAAGGCGTAAATCGCTAGCGGTTTAGGCCTCGAGTTGATGAACTCGATGCTATCTTGGATCTTCTCCAACTAAAACAACATAAAACTGGATTATACTTGCTGTTTTAGTTGCAAAAATATTCATGTATATATATATATATATTCGTTTAGACTTACCGTGATTATTGGCAGCAGTGGACCGAAGATTTCTTCGGTCATTATCTCCGAATCTAACGGTGGATCGAGCAAGATGGTCGGCTCGATGAACCTGCGGAATCGAAGTTTTTGAATCTTGTACTAGTTGGAATCGGATTCAAGAATTGTATTGCGAGTTTTTTAAAAAATCTCCCTCTCTTGCTTACATAGTCTCATCGTCTACCGATCCGCCATGAACGACACATTCCCTGATCCTTTTGTCGTCCAGAAGTCTCTTCAACCTCGAGAAGCAGTTCGTGTGACTTATTCTCCCGACAGTGCTCGATTTTCTTGGGTTTTCTCCGAACATTTTCTTGATGCTACCCTTCATCACTTCAATCTAAAAAAAGAAGAAGAACTCATGATATTATCGATCAAAATCGACAATATCCGCTTCTGGCGGATATATAACAAGTTCTATAGTTTAAGATCTCACCAAAGTCGGAGCGTACCCCTTCTCCACGAGCGCGTAATCAACGGCTATACACGCCTGGCCCGCACATGATCCGAATTTCGCCCCAATTACACGGTTTACAGAAACCTTTTTCAACAAAATCCAACATTTACAAAATTATAGATCCGGGAAACGTTTATATAAAAGAATACAGTTTAGATGTTTAGGTTCATGTATGTATATACTTCTTGATCCCATGACCAAGACAGCGAATCGACGATTGCGGGGCATTTTCCGCCGAGCTCAAGAGTCACAGGAGTAAGATGCTTCGCTGCAGCTGACAGTACGATACGCCCGACCCTCGCACTTCCTATAAACAAACGGTATAGACTCATTAGTACGACGAAACCACGGAAAATAACGTATTCCTGTTTTGTTTCGTATGTTCTACCTGTGAAGAAAATCTTGTCCCACTTCTGTTGCAAGAGCATTTCGCCGACCTCGGGCCCTCCCTCGATGACCTTAACCGCTCTGTTATCAAGGTACATAGGAATCGTTTTTGCGAGAAGCAAAGAAGAAGCCGGGGAAAGTTCTGAAGGCTTTAGGACCACCGTGTTTCCGGCGGCTACCGCTCCAATCAGCGGCTCCAAGCAAAGCCCTAAACGTCGGTTTGAAAAAAAAACGTTTTTCTTGTTACGTCAAATGTGAAGGCAACGAGATTATGAACGTTTTGAAGTCTCTCACCGATTGGGAAATTCCAAGAGGAGATTACAAGAACAAGTCCAAGAGGCTCGGGTGATACTTCGGCCGACGAGAGAAGCGCTATGATCGGCAATTCAGCCTTCCAAAGATCGAAACACAGACGATGATCAAAACCCAACACCAAAAAACATAAGTTCAGATCAGAAGATTCAAGAATCTAGGTTTCGAGTTCTTGGATCATGGGAGATTTTGGTCAAGAACATGACAAAAAGGAACAGAGAGATTGTTGCCTTGCCTTCTTGTTGGACATCCAATGTTTGAGATTTGCCAAAGCATAATTAGCAGACTTCATTGTGGTTCCGATCTGCATATATAAACACCGATATCAGACCATGTAACTACAAATTAAAAAAGAAAAAAGAAAAAACACTATGCTTTATCTTTAAAGCATAACATACGAATCTTTGAACACCAGAAATGGGAAAAACCGACAAAAAAAAAGCGAAGAAGAAAAGGCAGAGAAGAACAAGAAGATTGTATGTATGTATGTATGTATGTATGTATGTATGCATGTATGTATGTATGCCTCATCTCTGAAGGCTTCAACATGGTGTTTGCCCAAATCTTGTTCGAGGGCATTGAAAATCTCAGATTCTTGATCTCTGAGAAGATTCTGAATCCCTTTGAGCTGAGTGATTCTCCATGAGAAATCTCTTGTTTTTCCTGTCTTGTAATAATACTCTCTCGCCTCCTCCACTTCCATCTGCAACTTTCTCAGGCCTTCCATTCTCTCAGGTACCAAGCCGTTCCTCTTCTCTCTTCTACTAATTCATTCGCCTATATTTATCCAACATCACATATTTATGCATGTCCCTCTCTGTCTGTCCCTGTATGTATGTATGTATGTATGTATGTATGTATGTATGTATGTATGTATGTATGTATGTATGTATGTATGTACATCACTTGTCGTCTTCCTTTTACTGTTTTTGTTTTGTAGTTTATTGGTATATACAAACTGGTTTAAATGCAATAAGGGTGGGCAAAATATCCGAAAAATCGACCCGATCCGTTATTTGATTTGTATCCGAAAATTCGGATATCCGGAGGTTACAGATCGGACGCGATATTTATTTTGAGATATTTGTCGGATACGGATATCAAAATCGAATTATCCGACATATCCGATTTGATCCGTATTTTATAATAATATTATTAAATATAAGAATAATTTGTATGAATATTTAAAAAACTTAATATTTACACGTTTTTAAGGAAACTCAAGAAATATTTTATATATATTGAAGTTCAGAATGTTTAATCTTTTGAATATTAACATTTATTATGTTTAATATTTGAATTTTGTATTTTGAATATATTTGTATGTGATAGATTATGATTGTGTTTGTATTTGAGTTAATTTTGAATTTTAAATTTTGAATATTATTTATATTAAATAGTTTATACATTTATTTACGTTTGAGTTTGTTCTTTAATTTTAATTTAAATTTTTTACAACGTTTTAGATCAGATACGGATAAAAAATCGAATATTTGTGTGGATCGAATACGGATACGGATATCTCAAAAATCCCGAATATTCGATCTGTACTCATCCCTAAAATGCACCTAAAACCCTGTTTATTTAGAACCGGAAATGCTCGAAAACAATAGAAAAACATAATTTTAGTAAGGAAATTTGCGAGGAAATAAATTTCATTACAAAATTGGCAACAAAATGTAACAAAAACGATGTTACAACAAATTTACAACGTAACTTTTCGTTGCTACGATTAATTTACAACATAATTTCGTTGTAAAATTTATCGGTCAATAACCAAATGAGTTATTTTACAACGCAATTACGTAACAAAACTATATCTTTTAGAAATTAAGAAACCTCTAACATAATCTTCAGAACTTCAACAAAAATCAAAATATACCTCTAAACTCTTTCCGAAAAATATATGTCTATGTATAACGCAGATCACAGCCGACTCTAAAAATCGAAATCTTATTGGGCAATAAAACTGTTGTATTGCAAGCTACATGTATGTATATAAGTATGTGTATACGTGAGCTGTATTTAAATTCTAGTACAATATGAAAAGAAAAGTAGCAGAAACCCTTCTTATTTTGTCTATTTCACAAAAACAACACCTTAATTCCATTTGTTTTGATTTTGGATTAAATTTTCAAAATTTATAAATATTGTAAATGATAACTAATCACTAGTTACTAAAAAAAGTGGGGCAAAATATCCAACATATCTTCTTTTTGCTACAACTACTTGTTATAAGAGTTTGAAAGAAGAATGATTTTTCTTATTCATTGACATGTATCAGATCCGAATATATATACATTGAGAGAATCAAATCAGGAGATCTAGTAACAGCAAAATCAATCTAGTAACAGAAGAAGAAACATAATTGAGAAGATATAGATTTATATAGATATACTCTAACATGCCCCCGCAAGATCGGTCACGGTAGAGAGACCGATCTTGTCACGAAGAAGAATGAAGCGAGACTTCGGAAGTGGCTTCGTCAGAGTGTCCGCAAGCTGATCAACAGAGGATATGTGAGCAACACGAAGCTTGTTGGCCTGAACGAGACCCCAAATATAATGATAATCAATGGCGATGTGCTTCATACGGGAGTAAAAAACAGGATTAGCCGAGAGGTAGGTAGCTCCCACATTGTCGCAATAAATCACAGGAGAGACAACAGATTCAACACCAAGTTCAGAAAGCAAGGAAGAGACCCATTGAATTTCCGAGGATGTAGTCGAGACTAACTTATACTCTGCTTCAGTAGAAGACTTGGCAGCAAACCTCTGCTTTTTCGAGGACCACGAGACAGGGTGACGACCGAGGTAGACAATGTTTGCTCTTGTCGAGTTGAAGTCATCGCGGTCACCTCCCTAGTCAGCATCGGAAAAACCATGCAGGGAACCAGAGTTGGACTTAGAGTAGAAGATGCCAAGAGTTGGTGTACCACAGAGGTAACGAAGAATGCGTTTCACTGCCTGCTAGTGATCAGAGGTAGGTCGGTGCATGTACTGAGCAAGTTTATTGACAGCATAAGCGACCAACTGAAGAGAAGATATTGTAGGCTGTCGAGAACTTGACGATACTCAGAGGGGTCATCAAGGACCGAACCTGCCTTGAGGAAAGAACTGATGTAGATGCCAAAGGTGTCGGAACAGGCTTAGCATCGAGCATATTGTGCTTGGACAGTATGTAACGACCCGAGGCCGTTACGAATTGTCGAAACTGCCCTCACACAGTAACCCGAGACCTTTCAGCGTGTTTTGTCCTCACTCGCACGCATACCGAGACACTTCCCAGTAGGTCACCCATCCTGAGATTGCTCCAGAGCCAGCACGCTTAACTTTGGAGTTCTCTCGGGTAGTCAACCAAAAAGGTAGGTGCACCTTGTTGCTATGAGTAGCTCAACTAATTCTTTTTATGTTATCTTAGACTGTATAGTTCCGGTCTCTCTCATTCCGGTGTGATCGATTCATCCCTGTACCCCCTACCCAGAAACTCGTCAGGAGCCGCCCCTTGTCCGTGCCTCTGCACCGGCGACCACTCCCCGCCCTCCTACGGTACTCTGGGCTGTCACAGGCCCACCAGCTTCCGTCTGGTTCGTCCTCGAACCACACCGTACTGGGAGAGTACCGGCTCTGATACCATCTGTAACGACCCGAGGCCGCTACGAATTGTCGAAACTGCCCTCACACAGCAACCCGAAAGTTTTGTCCTCACTCGCACGCATACCGAGACACTTCCCAGTAGGTCACCCATCATGAGATTGCTCCAGAGCCAGCACGTTTAACTTTGAAGTTCTCTCGGGATAGTTAACCAAAAAGGTAGGTGCACCTTGTTGCTATGAGTAGCTCAACTAATTCTTTTTATGTTATCTTAGACTGTATAGTCCCATACCTATACAACCCTCGGATCTCTCTCATTCCGGTGTGATCGATCCATCCCTGTACTCCCTACCCAGAAGCTCGTCAGGAGCCGCCCCTTGTCCGTGCCTCTGCACCGGCGACCACTCCCCGCCCTCCTACGGTACTCTAGGCTGTAACACAGTAAATCAGAGATATAGCGCCGTTGAGTGAGGTAAATTCCCAGGGGAGTCCGAGTTACCTCGACACCGAGGAAGAAGGAGAGATCCCCAAGGTCTTTTAGCGAGAATCGGGACGCAAGGAGCTGAATAATCCGCTGAACTTCAGAGGAGTCACTGCCAATGACAATTATGTCATCAACATATACAAGAAGATAGACTATAGCAGAGCCATGTCGAAGTATGAAGAGGGACGAGTTTGACAGCGAGTTAGCGAAGCCAATGTCGACCAGAAACTTGCAGAGTTCAGTGTACCAGGCCCTAGGTGCCTGTTTCAAACGGTAAAGGGCTTTACGCAGCTTGCAAACATAGGAGGACCGATCCTTGTCGATAAAACCTGGAGGCTGGACCATGTAAACATCGTCATGGAGAGTTCCCTGCAAAAAAGCATTGTTGACATCCAACTGTCGTAGAATCCAGCCACGAGAGACGGCAAGACTAAGGATGATTCGAACTGTGGCCTGTTTAACTACAGGGCTGAACGAGTCTGAGAAATCAATTCCGGGCCGTTGATGGAAGCCCTTGGCGACCAAGCGAGCCTTGAACCTGTCAACAGAGCCATTAGACAGCCTTTTAATCCGATAAACCCACTTACAGCGGACGATGTTGTAGCGAGAATCAGGCGGCACTAAACTCCATGTGCCATTCCGGAGGAGGGCATTAAACCCATTAGCCATGGCAGAGCGCCATCGAGGATCTCTCAGGGCTTGGGAAACGCAGGTTGGTTCGGTATCATTTGAAGAAGAAACAGAGGAGGTAAGTGAAAATTTGGTTTTCGGTTTGGAGATGTTGTTCTTTGAGTGAGTTGTCATAGGGTGAGAGTTTTTCGGTGGATCAGGAATTGGAGAGGGCAAGGAAATGGCATCAGGAGGGTGGTCTTGGTCATGGTTTGGAGATGAGTTTGTGGTGCAGGGGATGATGGGTGCAGGCAAAGGATCTCGAGAAGCAGGCTCCAGTGAAGATAGTGTACGAGATGGCCGAAGAGGGACAATACTTGAGGAGGTTGATGATGGAACAGAATCTGTAGAGTCCAGGGAGGACTGTAAAGACGATGCTGACGAGAGAAAGCTAGGGAATGGAAATTGAGACTCGAAAAATTCAACATGACGTAGATACGAGAAGAAGGGACATGGAAACAGAGAAACGCACTTTGAGTCAAGGAGTAGCCGAAAAAAATGCAGGGAAGAGACCGAGATTGAAGCTTATGATCAGAATAAGGTCTCAACCACGGAAAACAGAGACAACCAAAAGATCGGAGTTTCAGATAGTTTGGAGAAGAGCGAAAAAGGATTTCAAAGAGAGATTTGGACTCAAGAACAGGAGTAGGCAGCCTATTAATGAGATAGACTACAGTAGGGAATGCTAAAGACCAGTAATTTTTCGGAACAAAGGCATGAGACAGTAAGGTGAGGCTCGTTTCGACAATGTGGCGATGTTTCCTTTCGAAAATGCTATTGTGCTCAGGCGTGTGTGGAGGCGTTGTGAAGTGACCAATGCCATTCGAAGATAGAAAGGATCGGAGAGCAACAAATTCACCACCATTGTCAGAGTACAATGAGGCGATTTTGGACTGAAAATGATTCTCTGCTATGGCTTTGAATTTGGGAAAAATATCAGCAACGTGAGATTTGCGTTTGAGTGGGTAGAACCAGGTATACCTGGAGAAATGATCGACAAAGATTAAATAGTATTTATAGCCATCAAAGGACTCAATAGGTGATGACCAGA